ATTGTGCATGCTTCCGTTGCATTTATGGTCTTCTATTAAGGTGTTTGTTCCACAGCCCATAAATACTTTGTTGCTTCTGCAGCGCTTGGTAGTGTGACTGTATTTGTAGCAGTTTCTGCTCATTTTTATTGGGTCAACATAAACGTAGACTTTTACATTATAAAGCCTAAAAACTTTGAAGTATTCTGGTAGGATGCTCTCTTCAAAAGTAACTAGAACGGTCTCGCTAGGGATCCATTCTCTTTCTTCTGCTGTTATAGGTTTTTTGTTCAATCTCATGGCTTTCGTGATTTTACAAGGCGATACAGATTCATTTATTATTTCAGACGGTATATCTACGTCTGTTGGAATGCCTTTGATTAGTGTTTCCAGTTTGTGTCTGGATATATGGGCTTACATATACCCAGACACAGACTCCTCTGAGCTGACAAATGCGTTTGCGTAGTCTCTGTTGGGAAGAGAGATCTCCGCGCAACCGAAGGACCTCGCACTGATGTTTAAAGCTCCGGCTTTTAAGGAGCTTATTATTCTGGCAATAAACATGAAATTTTAGTTTGTTTTTTTTTAGTTCATTTTTAATTCTAACCACTGCGACCGCTATTCCTTCATGAGTGGATTTTTACTGGTGGAACTCGGATCTTCCAGTGCCGTATTTCTGGAATAGCTTGCCGCAGGATGAAGGCTTTTTCCTCTTTAATTTGCTTCTGTCCACGTGGGACATTCTTGAATATATTTCACGTAGCCAGCTCTTCACTTTGTTTCGTTCGTTTTCCGGACAATGTTTTTTTATGGAGTGAGAAAAATCATTTAATGAAATCCCCTTTATTTCAGGAAGAAAACTAGTTTACTCGATGTATCATTTACTGAATTTGCCTGTTTTACAGAGTTACAAACAATCACTTTTCATTCAATTTGCTCTATTCATGGACACTCAATGTGATTGATTCGTCTGCTTTATAGAGTCAGAAACCGCATTATGACGCGAAATCAGGATTATATATGTCGACTAACAGGATAGACCGGGCATCCAATGGGGTTTCGTGTCTCAAGGTCTGAAATACCGACCAAAAAAAAAATCACTGATTTTTTAGCGCATTCTATGCTTAAACAATGGCGAATTGGAGAACTATGTCGAACAAAATGATAGAAGCCGATTAAGTAAAATAATATCCATTACAGTGTTGTCAATTATACATCATTAGTTTCTATCACCAATAGTGCAATACTTGCCTAAGTCGACATGACAAGGTGTGACATGAAAATAGTAAAGGGATCAGGTGATTCCCAAACGTGGGACAAAAAATACCATTGGATGTCCGGTCTATCCTCTTAGTGATATTGGGTACATGGCTGAACTTTAATTTGAACGACAATATAACGATAGTCATACAATTTTTTGTCTTTAATATTATCCGAAATTTCCAATTATATATATATATATAAAACTAGTAATATAGTGTCTCATTAAATTCCATGCAGTTATCTCCAAAAGTATTTGTTATTGTAAAAAAATGGATAAATTTTTAATTTAACGGCTTTTCCCAATTTTAGCTATTTCGCTACCGTTTCTTCAATAAGGAATTCATTTTATCACTAAAACAAAAAATCAATCAGGAAAGAAATTAATCAAAAAAGTTATATAGTTCTTGTTACTTTAAAAAAAAGAATATCATATTAAAAAAATTCTAGGCCAACAATTTAGTCAAAATTGGGAAAATCCGCTAAACTAGAAATTTAATAAAAGATATTTCAAGTAAAACTCTTTGTGTAGATGGAAACGTTTATGAGATCTCAAAGTTCCCACATCTTTATTTTTTTAAATAAAATCATATACATATATTTTTATTCGTTAATCAATAAAGCTCGACATTCTCTGTAAAAAAATTACTGACATATGCATGTCGAGAAATTATGGTTTATGAGATACTTGATGAATTTAGAAGATATTTTATGATTAAATCAGAGATATTTTGTAGAATGTATCGTATGAAACACATGGAAAGATAAGAGCATTATTTTTGAATTTGTACTGTACAATTGTCTTTCATGCATAGATTTTACGAAATTAAAGTTAAAATATCTATCTCCTATACTAATAATTCTTCAATATACATAAGTTAATACTGTTTTATACAGAATATTAAAGTTGCAACGATTGATGCATAAAGAAATATATGTTTCCATTCAAAAAAAAGAGATGAACTTAAAATCTCGGAAACGTCTCCATCTATACAAATCTAGTAGTCATCGAAAGATATCCCTATCAAAGCCAAACAAGTTTTATTTGAAATATTTTTTTGAATAACGAATAGTTGCAGGAATAATTGCGTGGAAAAATTAAAATGATACACGCTATATAATAATTGCACAATAATAATGCAATATAAAATTCTACAAATATTATTATTTTTTTTTTATACATTCTTTAACCCAAATTTAATCTAAACCTAATCTAATCTATATTCAAAATCAAACTAAAAAATATCGTGAATATAGAAATGAAATTACTTGTTGATAAAATCGTTGAGGTGTGTCCTTTTTGATATAATTACCACATTTTCCAGGTATTAGACTTATATATCATTTTCTAGGAAGGGCCATAAACTTCCGAAGCACGCAACAAGCATAAAAATTAATATACTACTACAATACACAGTTTTAACTACTACAACCTAGTTTCACCCCTAGTTTTATTCCTTTAGCATAGTTGGTAATGAATTCTCACATTTACATATATATAACAACTATTACAACCTAGTTTCACCCCTACAATACAGTTGACAACATATTCTCTCTATTTATGAACAATAGATTTTTTAAGTTTATTTTAATATTGTGGCAATAATAAATAATTTTAAATCTCTAATAGATAAAAATGTAAATATTTTAAAATTTTTATATTCGTACAACTATTATATCTTATAACAATCAAATTCCATAAATTTTTCTGTAAGTTTTTCAAAAAAGATATAAAGAAACATAACTAAAAATAGCAAGAATCATCAACAGTATATAAACCGTTTGCAACAAGAAACGTTGTTATCTAATGACTACATTAACAAACTAAATGCTATAATATGAAAATAACAAATACATAATTTGCAAAATTGATAAAAATGAAATTGTTATAGATTAAGATTGAATTTAATCGTTATAGATTGAATTTATCTAGTCGACTATCACAAATTTTACATAAACTCTTAGAGAAAATTGTGACAAATATATCGTACATGTTTTTCAATTTATCTTAATTATTTTACAAAATTAGAGTACTTACATAAAAAAAAAGAATTTGTTAAATTATTGTAAAATCTTTACAATAAATATACGCCACTATTACAAATTTAAGTATTTATCTACTCCTAATGAAATATTTTAAATATTTTAATTACACAATTAAACGAATTGCAATGATTTTATTTTTTATGATCGTTGTAGTTGCATATACGTGCGTGATTAAATTCATTTTGAAAATAAATAGTTTTAATATAATATAATTCAGTTTCTCAATTATAAATTAGTTTAACATATGACTTTATATTAATGGACTTTGTATTAATGGAAAATGTTAAGAACACACGTAGTTGTTAATAGATTTTCCTACAATGCGGAACGGACTTTATATCATGACTAGGTCACAATTTCAATAATGCTTAAACAACATTCTGCAGACGTCGTAATGTCTTGTCGCCATGAAGTCAAAAATTCGAGTCCAAATCACCGGTGATACAATCAAACACAATCCAAAAGGAATCTTGGAAACCTTTCTGTTGTCAAGTCATCCACGCGGCGTCTTCAAGAACATTCGCTCCAAGCGCATTGAGTGGACAAGCACTAATAAGGAAAATAAGACAATTTTACTGAAGCCTTCACAATCTGAATTCAGCATCACAATCAATCAAGGCTACAGCCTTCATTCACTGTTAGTTCATCATCCAGCATTCAGGACCAGTTGTGATCAGGCTACTAATTCCATAAACATCAGTCAATAAATAGCAACCAAACCATTCAAATGCATTTAGATCCTCTAAGTGCATTAGATAGTTCTTCGATCTACAATCAACACACGGTCAAGTACAATGTAACATGACCAAAACGTAATCAGCATTGCGTCTTAACAGAAAAGATTTAAGTTCAATGCAAATATACAGGCAGAATAATATGTAAGACACGATGTGATTCTATTAAAAAAATATAGAATAAAATTTTTTTAGGCTTCGTTTTTGAGAAAATCGAAATTTCCATTAAAAATTTATGGAGTGTACTTAAGTTTAGCTAATTCATGACGTGACAGAAAAAAATAATTGAGTGGAGGTTATTCTATGTAACAATACATAAAAAATAAGTAAAAAAATAAGTAAAAAACGTACGAAAAATAAAATTTTTCCCTGTTTTCGAGAAAATTTATCAAATACACATGTGCTTAAGATAAATTTTAACGAAACATATTCAAAATTTATTTTCTTCAAAATGATATTTTAAGTGAAAAAATTTTTTCTACTTTTTTTCTATTTTTTACTTATTTTTGCACATAGAATATCCTCATGTCGATTATTCGCACCTGTTCGGCATGGAATTAGCCAAATTCAAGTATAGTTAATAAATTTTCAAAGATTTTCGATTTTTTCAAAAACGAAAAGCCTTAAATAAGAAGATTTTATTCTTTTTTTTTCAACATATTTTTTCATGTAGAATCATTTTTCAGTCAGATGAATCGCAGGACATCCTACATCATAATGGGCTAATCTTCTTGTATATATTCTGATAATACTCAATGAATAGAAACGAAATAACAATGGCTTTGAATGTTGAAATCTATTGGCTCGAAAATTATACGTTGTTAAAATTTAGTAATTTTAAAATACTACATATGGTACTCGACTCCAAGAGTTTCCTTTTGCTTATGTACACTGTTATCAATGTGTAAATGAATACGTGTTTTATACAACTAAATTAATAGTTAAAATGATAATTTTTATTGAAACTATGTATATTATCGTTGTACACGTTTACTACGTTCAAGTAAAAATTGCCTTAAGCACCGGAAATCAATAAAATTATATGATAACGAACTTTTTCAAATATAATAATTTTTAACTAATATAATTTTTATCTACAAACTAATATAATTTTATATATTATAATAATATATTATTATACTATTTCACACACGATATTTTCGCATGAATTACCGCGAAATTACGATATTTACCGCATATAAATTGTGCAACTTGAACTGCCATTAAAGGATCGCCATTGTGATACTATCATCCAGTAAACGGGTAGGGATTCCAATAGTCTCTCCACTTAAGCGTCCGTCGTTATCCCCAACAATTCTTGGGATTGGGATTATCTCACTCTACACATTTTTCATATACATACAGAGTGTTAATTTTAAGGGAGTATTCTAGTGTAAACTTTTGAAAAAATCGATTTTTTTTGCATATTCTTAAAAGACATAGTTTTAAAAATAAATCTCTGTAACCTTACATGTGAACTCCTAAAATTAACGAAGTTATGGTTATTGAAGGACGCGACGACCAGCATCATTGTTACCGCAATACTAAACTTTAAAGGCATTTTTCTGGAAACTATGTTTCTCAGAACGGTGTCCATGATATTTCAAAATCTACTTGACCAATTGACTCAAAATTTTAAGTACGCATTTAGTACATGTGTGACTATAACCCCTATCAGAATCAACCAAAAAATTTTTATATTTTTTTATTTTTTTTGGCTTCCAAAGTTTAACAAAAACATGCAAAAATCGATAATCGAACTTCAAAATATTGCCACTTTTTTCTTTTGTTTTGGTACCTGCTATATCATTTCCGACAATCAGAATGGCTGGAATCATGGACACCGTGAGACGACCTTTTTTTAAAAGCGACTATGTTTGAGAGTATGAAGTACCACTAATTTTAACTTTTTTTTGTAAAAATTGTAAAACGTCGTTGAAATACGTACAAATAAACCTTGTTTAAATTTGACTGCAAGAGGTATAATAGTTTCTTTGCAAAAAATTCACTAACAAAGTTAAAAAAACACGCACTTCACACTAGAATACCCTCTTAAATCTAAATTATTTCGACTGCTTAATGTTAAGAAAAAGTAACTATATAGGATTTAAGTAGTTTCAAGATGTGCATCTGATATTATTAAAAAAAATTCTGTTTTTTGGCATATTAATATCTACCTTTTGTGCTATGCTGTAATCGACATCGAAAAGAATTCAACGCCCTACGACCTTGAAATGACTGAAGACAAAAAAATGAATTTCATTCTAAGGAATGATAATAATGATAATAATAATGAAATAGTAATAATAATGATAATAAAAATAATAATGAGAATAGTAATTTTATGAGATATTCGATATACTGGTATGACGTACCATAACACGAAGCATGTTCTTTAATTTTTTGATCTTCCTTCATTTTACTATTTTCTCATTTATTTTAAATTAAACACATCCCCATGTTTACCCAAAATCTTTGATGATCATTTCTTGCACTCGAAACTCACAATTAGTTATTCGACAATCAATCGCACCAAATCTATTCTCTCACATTACAGTTTATTTATTTAAATTTTTTATTAAATAAACACATATTTATAAATTCAGAAACTGAAATATCTCTCATATCCGCATACGTACATATATGTATACATATACGTCTATGTACTTTGTATATGTGTATATATACCTTGAATTCACGTAACAATTAGTGAATCTATATTAAGTTTCATGCCGCATCCACACTTTAGCGATTGCGATTAGATTACAGCGAACTCGCTTGGTAAGCGGTACATCAAAAAAAAAAAAAAAAAACTCAAAGAGCATCGAGGGCCTTACTTTGTAACATTGTATCCGCAAGCACTAAGTGAACAAGTCTAAAACCGCTAACAAAGTGCTCACGAGTAATTCTGTCTAATGCCAACATTAAATTCTTTCTTGACAAGCTGCCCCTCCCTTCCCTTCCAATAAATAACCACACTAATTAAAATTTACACCGATTCATGCTAAACGATGCCTTTTCTTCTAACAATATTTTTCGTTCAGGTCACCACGTTTATTTACAGATTAAACTACACTTACAGCTATTTGTATTTTTAAAAATAGCGCAAACTTTATTATTGTACTTATATCGAATGCATAGGAACAACGCAAAAGAACCTGTATCGAAAAAATACAAAGAACTTATATCGAGAAAACAGAACATGAAAAAGAATGCACTGTCATAGGTTTAAAAGTATCGATTATTGCTGATGTTTATTCCGGCATAGATACAGCTTTACAAAATATACCGATTTCCGTTAATTAAATGTCAATCAACTATCCAGCCATTATCGAATGACAAATTAATGAAAGAGCATAAAATTTATAGCTCTCATAAAATTTCTGAAAAGAAAATTAGAATTCGACATAATATTTGTAGCGTCAAGAAATTAGAATGGAGTAAAATACAAGTTTAATATAATATAAAAATATTTGTTTTATTTTTCTGGAAAGATTTATTTTTATAGGAGATTTTAATCGATAAATGTGATCCAATATTATTTTATCATTCCATAAGAACCAAATATCTACTTCTTAGCCAATGCATGAAATCAAATATTAGTGTTATTATTACTTATATTTATTATTATATTTTAAAATATAATATAATTGCAAAGAACAATTATCTTCATTATAATGAATTGCAAAAAAATATTTTTCAGTTTGAACGAAATTAAAATGTAAATCCTGATTATTAAATTTTGATATCGAATATTCGTTCTAAAATTTAGATCATTAATAATTTTAAATAAAATTTCATTCAAATTAGAAAAATAAAATATATGAAACCAAGCATATGTTCACATATGAATAATTACATATGTATGTTTGAATGAAAGAAAACATGCATACATTATACGCTTATTATGTAAAACATTATTATCAGTTCTCTCTGATCGTTCCAAATGTCTCAATTTTTTGTCTTTATGTCTTTGTACTTGTCATAACTATGACAGTTTTATTAATTTTTTGTGCTATTAGATGACTTAACATATTGGTAACATAGAGAAGAAGAAAGTAAATTCTCTGTAATAATTTCATGTCTTTCTTCTTTGAACTATAAGAGTATTTTAGTATTCAAACATTATATTACCAGAGTGTCTACTAGCAATAAATAAATTTCTAGTTATTAACAAATATCTTACTTTGATGATATATTTCAATATTAAGATATTCGAAAAGCAAAGATTCACATGAAAAAGATTCTACTGTATTGTTTAAAGTGGTAAAAATAAGACGTAATATTAAAGATAAAAATACAATTATTGTCCGAAAGGATAATGGATGAACATGGACAAAATGGAATAAACATGACAATGGAACATCAAAGAAAAAAGAAAAGCAACATCAATGACATTCCATAAACTTGAAATTACCTACATATTCATAAATTATCTTTATTTAACATTATTCTCTTTACATTATTCTCTTTATTCTCTCATTACATTATGTAATTTCAATGACAGCATAAAAATTGTACATTATTTTTAAACCGACATCAAAGGCATCTAATCTAATGGGGTAACATACATATTGTTAGCACAAAAACTAACAACAAAGCAACTTCATGTAATTTTCCTAATGAAAATGATACTCATATAACATAGTCATTAACAATAACAAGTAATTCCATCAGTTACATATTGTACATCATTATAATTTCTAACCTCACTGTTCCACGAATATGATATTTTTTTAAACTGTATGTACATATATACAGAGTGTTAAAAAATTATTTATCGTGACTTCGGGAAATGATTCTACATCTTCGAATGATGAAGATTTGTTTAAAATGTCAATCGCAAAATTGAGATATTTCCAAGGTCAATTTTTGTATTGCATTCTATTCTATTCAGTATGAAGGAAAAATATTTCGACGGAATGAAATCGCAACTCAACCGTGCTCTTGGAAAAAAAACTGAATTTCCATTAATTATCAAACTTATTTTGTTTGTACTCTGTTCATGTTCTGGGGCCAAATTCAGGAAAAACACATGTATAATCCCAGATCTCTTCCAGATTCATCATCATGTATCCTATATCTTTGTTTTTTTATTTCTTCTTTTTTTCTTCCTTTCGCTATATAAATAATTCCGATTTTATATAATAAACACATTCAATCCAATATTTTAATTATTTAACAATATAATACATTCACTCAAACTATAAACAATTTACAATTACTTATCGCAAGTAAGAAAATGCGTTACCGTTGAATCTTATGAACAAGAAATATATGAGAAGGAAGTTTGCGTCCTACTTTAGGTGATTCAAATATTTCACTCAAAAACTACAATTTTATAATATCTAAATATTAATAAATTTTAAACTGATTTTATTCACAATGTATGTAATTATACTTCCAGTCCTTATTAGGTTTTATCCTTTATTATTAGTCCTTATTAGTCCTTATACGCATTTGTACTAACTATTTATGTGTCCATTTCGTTTGTGAGAAGAAATTGTTTACAGTTCGAATGAACAGATTATATCCGTTGAAAAATTGAAACATCAGGTCAATGATGGTTTATTATACTACATAAATCAATGTACAATATCAGAAGAGAAACAGCCAAAATGCAAACTCGGAATTATTTATACAGTGAGAAACAAAAAGAAGCAAAGAAAGGAAAATATAGGATATGATATCTAGGGTATGCGATAATATATGTATGTCTTCCCTATATTTTATCGCAAAAATTGAGCACATTATAAATTATGTAAGTTCGACAACATTAATATATTTTTCTAAGAGAACGGCTAGTTGAGTTGCGACTTATGGTTCTTGTTTTCTTAAAATCTTTTTTCCTCGTAATAAATAAAATACGATACAATAAAAAGAAAAATTTAATTTATGTCCAAAATCAATTTTACACCCCATTTTTTAAATAGATCTCAATTAATCCGAAGATACGAAATCACTTTCCAAAGACATGACAAATAATTTTTTGACATCCTGTACATAATAACTGGCTATAAATCGCATTAAATAAATGAAAAACAGCTATAGGCTTGATGACTAGCCGGCTTTTCGATCGGTCATGTTCACCTATTCAACTTATCAGGGCTGTTAACCTAACCTAGTTTCTAAAACAATGTATACCTTCCTCAATCCTATAATGAAACTTTAAAATTTCATTCAGTTACATACATTCACAAATGTCAAAGATTTAAAAAAAAAAAATAAAATTGAGAGATTTAAACATTTTACTATAGATACTAATTTATTGAAATAAAATTATACATTTTGAACACATGAACATACGACAATATTTTATAGATTTATTCAGTGAAAATTGTATCTAATAAATTGGAACAAAAAAACATAAAATTTACTATATGATGCATTAAAATATACAAAAGGTGTTCTTATTAGTATGATTATAATCAGAATAAATTTATTTTTTTTACTGCATAATAGTTTTATATAGATTTATATAAGATCGTGTTTTCGTTTTGTTTATATATTCTTTTGAATAAATGTAAGAACCATACTTTAGCAATGGTCCAATTGTTATTTCATTAAGATTCATAAAATGTCCAAAAGCTTTCTTTTTTTGTTTTAAATTTAAAATTTAATAGATGTACAAGAATGTAGACTTTTATTACTAATTGTCTATGTATTTATAGTAATGATAAGACAGAAGATTGATGTAATAGTAGAATATAAAAGTCTCTTTCATAATAACATATTTGATCTTCCTCTATAATGGCATAATATAATTTGTACTTCATTTTTGAAAACTTTCAAAACTTAACTGTTTAAATCCTGATAGTACTTGAAAGTGTCGCTTCATATGAATGTTTGTGTTATTCATTTTAACATAAGAATAACCACGATACTGAGAAAAATATTTAGTATCTTAAACATTTGTAAATCGCTAAAAGAAAATACGAGAATGTTTAAATGTTCTTACTTCATGTAATAATACGTCTTATTTTTCCGGTTTACCATTTTTCGAATATCTTAATATTCAAATTATATTATCAGAACAAAATATCTGTTAATACATAATTAGATGCTCGTTTTCTATTAACAGACATTTTATTTCTAATATCTAATATCTAATATTCAATATTAAGATAAGTTCAGATAAAGGAGATTCTACTATACGTAAAACTATTAGAAAATTTATTTCTCTTCTTATGTTTACAATATGTCAAAAGTAATCTAATTACACAAAAATTTAATCGATATGTTACAGTTGATACTGAATATTGAATATAAAGGATTAAACTTCATATATATTATAGATATTCAAGAATTCATTTTACAAGATTTTATTTTAAAACTTCGAAGACTTAAATTTTATACAAGTCTACTGCTAAATATAATTAAAATTCACAATTAAAAATTAAAACAAAAAATATCTAAATTCTTGAAACTTTTCACCATACACAAAACAATAATACTCAATTGTTCATCATTTTTACAGACTCCATGAGCGTAATCAGAGCAATAGAAAACATAAATAGTAAAATAAAACATGAAACCATTCTAAACATTCAACATATTTTTACGTACCTCACCAACAATAACAAAGGCATAATCATCGCCTGGGTTCCATCCCACCAGGGATCAAAGATAACGAGGAAGCTGACATAGCAGCCAAAGAAGCAACATCGCCCTCGTCGGATGTCATCCGAAGACGAATTCCTTACCAAGACCTTGTTGTAACATTACATCATGCCAAAAAACAATCATGGAACAATATATGAAACACCTCCAAAAAAACAAAAACTCACAATATAATCCAAGATTTCTATCAAACAATGCCTACCAACAACATGAAAAGAAAAGACAGAATAGTCATGACAAGGCTTAGAACATGGACACTGCAAA